GAGAGAGAGAGAGAGAGAGAGAGAGAGAGAGAGAGAGAGAGAGAGAGAGAGAGAGAGAGAGAGAGAGAGAGTCTGCCAGTCGACGAACTCTCCGGCTATGGAGCGTGTTGTGACAGGCTCTGTTCTACGGAGAGTTGGGGCGAATCTGCGCGTCCGGCCTCGACCATTTCTAATCTATAAAAGTATTACGGTAATGGGAAAATTACGTACGTATGTGCGCTCCATGTTCCGATGGCTACCTAGAAGACCATTCGAGAGTGTAGGACCTAGAGGTGCCCTCCTTGCGCCTTAGAATGTTTCGTTTTGAATGATCATGTACTTTCCAGCAGGGTCACACTTGTCTTTGCAAGGTCCAACGGTGGTCTGGGTTCCCCTGAAGAACTTCATTTCATTTCATTTCATTTCATTTCATTTCATTTCATTTCTTGAATAAGGGCATCGCTCCACCACTCAGCAAATGTGCAAAATGAAAATGAATCGTCCGCTAGAACATGGCTATATGTACACCGCCACATTTTTTTGTCTTCGGTGCATTTGGTTAGTGGTTGAGCGAGGCCCTAAGTCACCCGACTCTGTGGATGAATCAATCGCTAATCGGCAATCGTTTTCAATTGATTAGTCACTTTATCGTCAATCATGCACTTGACTAGTAATTATAAGTGGATTGATTGACCGACTGCGGCGGGTCACTTGCTTGCTTTTGTCGGATTTCGCCAGAATGGCCTATGTCGTCCGTAACCAAGTTGTTGTTGTTGTTCTTCTGCTTTGTCTTCTTAGTAGTATAACCTGTCATCCACGTGGCTGGCCTTGTACGTAGGAGGTGATGAACAGGTGGGGCTTTCCTTCCTTACTTTTTTTCTTTACTTTTTTTCTTTCCCTTCCTTGTTTTGCTTTTTTCCGCCTTTGCGCTCCGATTCACAGTGTGACAATATATATATTTTTGTCACTTTGTTTTGATCCGAACCACTACGCATCGCAGTCGAGGTCAAGCTATGGGCCTCGCCGCACAGCAATTGCCAAATTCCACATTTTAGAATGTTTCTGGACCATATAAGACACGCTAATACAATGAAGAATGGTAGCGTTTTGGCGAGTGGTTCGGCGAGGGCCCCATGCAGCCAGATTCTTATCGTGGTCGGCTCTGTTGTCGCGCGCGAGAGTCGGACCGCCGGTTTTTTTTTTTTGGGTTGGTTCTTTTCGAACCGCCGGCTTGTTGCCGTAAGTCACTCTGTGGCTTGCGGAGCGAGCCGACCCTCCGTTCTGCCTGAGCCTGGCTTCATCTTTGGCGGCCACGTCAATTATGTTTCCTCTTCTTCTTTTTTTTTTTATAATCAAACCGAGCTATATTTTTCTCGAAATTTCACTTTCTACTACCTACTCACCACTACCACTCAGCCTATACAGGGGACCCATGCAAGCATATCTACCTCTCACAATCAAATCAAATCAAGTAAAGGGGATGCATGTTGCCCTCCGCCCTAATTGACGGTGGTCAGGGAGTAGGGTGGGGCGGCCGGTGGCGGGGTCCGGCTAACTCGAAGACCGATCATTTGGCCAGTAGCTGCGCTTTCCAACTTCCCCGGCCCCCATCGGGTAATAGCAGTGTCTATGGCCAGCACTCTCTCACACACAACACCCTCCCC